GTTTGGTCGGAGGAGTGAGTGTTTGTTTCAACGACTGTGCGTGATGGGAGCGAAGGTGAAGTAGAGACTTTGCCAACGAAGTCTGTGGGTTTTTTGCTCGGGGGGGAGTGGTTTGAATAAGAGAGTCCGCGGAGGAGGGGGGCCAACGGTGAGGAAGTGGACGGGACGTGGGTTTTGGGTGTGGGGAGGGGACAGGGCAGGCTGGAAAGAGACGAGAGAAAATGAGTGACAAGACCCGACAGACGATGCAGGCGCCAACAAGGAAGGCCGTCTGGAGCAAGAGCCAAGAGCGGCCGAGGAGACGCAGAATGGAAGGCGCCCACAACCACGACGAGGAAGGCACAACCTTAGCTGTGGTCCGTGGAAGGAAAGTGGAGGTGCTCGGCCCTACCCTCCTGGTCCCCGTCGCTCGCTCTTGCCCTCAGTGAACTGTGAACTCACCACCTGGTCACCTCACACTCACACAGTTTGCTGGGTTCCTCCTTGCGCCGGCCAGTAAGATTCTTTCCTCGTCCCTGGCGCCATCCACCTTGTGCATCTTTCTCTCACTCTTTCCGTCTCTGCTTCCAGTTCCCCGGGGTGGGCAAGAAGAGGCGGTAGGTACGACCCAGTGACACAAAAAGAGGTTTGCGGTCGCTGGTTGGACCAGGGCTGCGGCTGCAAAAGGCCAATGGCGCACGAGAGAGCGCACTCGGCCGGCAGGGCACTGGGAAGTAACTGCAAGGTACCCGCGTCTGCTTCGGGCAGGCTGCAGTTGCAAGAGACGAATCAAACCTCAAAGCGCATCTCAACAAAAGTATTGACTACCTTGATGGCGGCTGAGAACGCCCACAAAACCAATGTATTGACGACTCGCTCGAGTTGCAGGGGTCTGGATCATGACGGGAAATTAAGGCGCAAAATCACAGCGTTGCGTTCGCTCAACTTGGACCACGTACCCTTGCGCAACTCTGCCTTACTGGCTGCACTATGACATTGCACCATTGGATTATGAAGAGGCATTGTGCGCGCTGCAAACAGCCTCGTCCATTGCGACAGCAACCAAGGATCGGCAGGGCGTCGCGACTGGTCCTCGCTCGCCCGTCCTGAGGCAGTGACAGCGCTTTTCTTAGAAGTCTTCTTTTTTTCTGCGCGCTTCCTCTCAGGCTGCGCATTATGTACGTCAAACCGCCGACGACGACGCTGCTGACGGGCACACCCAATAATAGTGCCTTCTTTTCTTCTTCCAGAATGGAATATGGTCTGAGCAGAACCATCGGGCAATCGCCGACTGATTTGCAACCCGACCAGTGTTGACGGGCTTGACTCTCCACTCTGCATGTCGGCCGAGACACAAAACGGTCCATTTCTCCATTGTCTGGACTCCAGTCTCGGGCGAAAAGAAAGCCATTGTGGTGGGTGGACTAAGGGTCACTAACGGTGGCAATCTTATTGGCAGTCTTAAGACTCTCAATATTCACAGAGTGAAATGGCATAATCTGCTGGGTGGTCACTCGACACCGCATTCGACGCCGTGTCCGTCCAGATTGGAACCAAATCGTCGTGCCGCGCAGCAACCGCGAATGCCTCCATTCCCAATGCAGAGGGATGTGAGTGGGCTGTTCATAAAAAGAGCGAATTGCACAATTTCCCCGAGTCGAAATGGCTCAGTGTCCCGCACCGACGCCGTTGGTGATTGGCTTTTCCGAGGGCCGCCCTGAGATGAGACTCGACGCTTGCCAGGCTGTTCCTGCATTGGTTTCTCTTAGGACAGCTACGGTTGTAAGGTACCTGACGCTAAGCCCTGGATGGCCGGCTCGGTCTTGCCTCAGAGTGCTCTCTCTCTCATTTTGCAGTGCGCTCCTGCTAAAAAGATTTCTCATGGCGCAGGACCCAACCTGGAAAGCGCTCTGCGACCTCCTCCTTCCCAAGCAGTAGTTCGACGGTCTGTGCTCCCCCTAACGAGGAAGGAACCCAGCACGAGGTCTTTGGCAGGTGCGCCTATCCGATACTCCTGGCCATCTAACAATCAAAATCGACCGGGAAATGTCATCATCTTCGTTCCTATTCCCCGTGTCAGATCACGCGGAGAAGCATTTCCCTAGTGCCGATTATCCTTTGCTCTCAATGGGCCCCCAGTCGCCAGCGCAATTTGGCTTCTAGCGCCCGTCTTTCACGCATCCTCCTGCAGCGCACCACGCGACCAACAACGCAGCAGCAGCAACACCGAAGCCTGCAGCTCTCTGGATAGGTACCTAAGGTAGCCTTCGACGATCCACGGCCTGGGCAGACAGTCAACTCGCCGGGAACCATCCCATATGTCTCGGTCCCATCTCATTCTCGTGTTCATCCTCGCCCGTCCGAACTTCCATCATCTCACGGCGGTCGCTGCCATCCCATTTGGGGGCTGCAAATGCAAATCCTCGGATGAAACCCGACAAACAGCTCCACCGCCGTCAGCCTGGTGTGGAGAGCCTGAACCGAAGGAGATCAGGCCGGAGATCATCACTGCACCCAGCAGTGAACCCCTTGAAGCCTTCTCACAGTGGGACGTCCCATGTTCAACCTGAAAGGCTTGACATTTCCTCAGGGCAACACCTGGCCCCAGCTCGCATCTGCTCCCACTTCGCGCGCCCGGAGCGAGTCGTTCGCTACGGCCTGGAGCCATCGCGGCCCCTATTCCGACAGGCTCTTCAACAGGCCTCTGTCGCAACAAGGGCCGTCGCGGCTCCCCTTTTGTGCCATCCAGACCTCACCAGTGTCTGCGGAATCGGCGCATTCACACTGAGTACCCCCATTCGCCCACTCCGTCCACGTCGCAGCGATAGCTCGCTGCCACGTTGTGAAACCCAGCGTCACACGCTCACGGGTCCCGTCTTGCGTCTGCGTCCCGTCGTGTCTGCATCTTCGCTGGCAGCCGCAACAAATCGTTGGGCCCGAGATGTCCTAAGCTGAACCGCCTAGGCCGTCGAAGAGGTCGGTATGGGCCTCCGACCAGCGCAGTGTCCCTGAAGCTTGGCTTGACTCTTACACCACGGCCAGCGATTCAGCTCGCCGCACTGCCTCCGCCATTCGGCTAAATCGGGGGCGCCAGTCGAGGAAGGTTTCAGTCAGAATGGGCTTACCAGAGCTGCTTCTTCCTTTGCCCAGTGCTTGTGCGAGCAAACTCTTCAACCTGAAGGAAAGAAAACCCTCCGTGCGGACGTTCTAGGGGCTTGAGGGGGGCGAAAGAAGAAAATTCTTGACTGTCGCACGCCACCGAGCACAAGAATGAGACGTTACGATAGACTCAGACAGCTACCACAGCGGCTTCCAACGTCTTTACGGTGGGTCCAAGATCAACGGCGCATCCCAGCGCCGTCGCAACTCGGATGCTCTGTGGTGCCACCTTGCTTTGCAGTGAAGCTCTGCTCTGCTGTGCGCTGTGCTGCCAGCAAAGTCATGTGCTTTTCCATGCACCGCAGCTCACTCATCTCAGCAGTTCAGCTTGGGCATCGGTCGTTGCTGTTGTTTCCACGCTACTTCTCCGTTGCTTGTGTACGACAACAATCACTAACCACAGGCATGCAGACGCTCAGCTTCTTCGTATTCAACCCGCTTGTGCTGCTTTTTTGCTTTTCCTCGTAACATGTCTCGACCTCATTATCCAACGGCCAGCTGCAGCGGCCTGCAGGATGCATGCAGGCGCAACGAGCCGCTACCTTCTCGGCTTTTGAATTGAGCAGCGCACCATCGCATTGTTTCTCGCGGATGCACAAAGGGCTCTACATCTCGGCTCGGGTTACAGTCGAGCTCCTGTAATCTGCGCTATTCGTTGAGAAAACCCCGACGCATCCTCGCTGGCTCGTGGCTTCAGGGAAAACTTCCCTCTAATTCGTGCCGCTTCAACCTCGTCTCGTGGCTCCCCACATGCCCATAATGACGTTGCTTTCCGAGTGGGTGCATCCATGTGGTAAAAGCTGAATTCTCTCTAGGGTCCAAAGTGCGGACGGCTCACTGCAATTTCTCTGCCCACAGAGCTCGGAGGTTCTTCCCAGCTGTCTACTTGATGCGAAGCGATGTCCGGAGCCCCGCCCCCGTCTCCCGACCCCTGGGCCGATTGTTCAAGGGACTAGCACCCAGACTCCCTTCGTCACCGTCGTCATCACCTCCGTCAGCATAACTGACTAGACAGCTGGTGGACCGGGCTGTGAAGATAACCTCAATGCACAAAAGGGGCTTAAAGGGGGACGACAATGCTCGGTTTTTCTATGAATGCAGCTCTGCAACAGACAAAATCGTCTAAAATATCCGCAACAAAACCTGTCGCCTCCCGCCAACATCCTCATGTCGCTTGTCTGTCACAGGCCGCTGCCAGGCCCCTTGGCGACGTCCGATCTTGACATCTGACGAAACAAACCCCGTTCATCTATCGCGTACCTGTTTTGAAACAATGGTCAAGGTTCATCTGAGCGTACGCAATTCCCAAACTCTGGTACCGGTGCAAGCAATTTAGCTCGCGCCGGTCTTGCAAGGCCCCTGGATACCACGCGGCGATGGCATCTGTGCCGTCATGGCTCGGACGATGCGCTGCATGGGCCGAACGATGTCGGAACCGAAAAATTCTGGATATCTCTCAGTGGAAACAACATGACCGAGGCTTCGATCGACTGCGGTATGATTGCAGTGTCCCATTATGGAATCGCCGTGCGGAGGTAATGCTATCTGCGGTGTGAATGGAATTGAGTGCGGCCTGCACAGTGCCATGGTGGGCGAATGCCCTCAACTCGTATACAACTGAAACCGCCCGGCCTTTGGACGATATTGCCATCAATGTCTTCCAACCTCTTCTCAAGTTGCGTTCTTTTCGTGCTCAATCCCACCTTTTTGGCGGAACCCCTCGGCGGTTGGGAGTGTGGTATTTCATCAGCGATATGTTAGAAGGCATCCGCGTTGCAACGGTTTCGGGCCCACCTTGAGGAAACTTCAGTTCGCTTGTCGGGCCAGCAGCTCAACCCACTTGCTGAGCTTCGGCTACAACCGGTCTATTAGTCTAGTTGGTTAGGACGTCGGATTCTGATCAACATCAGTTCCTTCCGTAGGCCCAGGTTCGAATCCTGGATGGACCTTACTTTTGACGTTCGCGAGCGACCTCGTATCGCCATGTTGGTTTTCTGCTTCTCGTTTTTTTATTTTGCTTCCATTCTGGATATCGATCCTGCACCTTAGATGGAAGATACCCAACGTGCGGCCTGCAATCCTGCATATCTGCTAACGATGTCTCGCATATTTCCTGCGAGAAGACTTAAAGACGTTGGGTTAAAGCCACGGTGTGGTGGTACTACCTCCCATCCATATATGATATCTGACGGTGTGCCTGAAATACTCCGGGGTTGCTCCTACGTTGACATTGCTGCTTCATCGCGCCACTGATCCTTAACGTTGGTCCGGCTACCCAACTTCCCTTCAGCCGCCGAAGAGCTCGGCCCGAGTCGATGCGATTCAATTTCCATCTGGGCGAATCTCTCAGTCAGCCGATTCTGGCGAACGACGTTGGCCAAATTGTATTGAGTGAACAGCTTTTTTTGCATCCGTTCTGCCGAGAGGCACAGCTCATATTGACACGCCTATCGGCGCATGTCTTGGGTAATACACCCAATCACCAGCAGCACCAGCTCGTTCGGACATAATCGGCACTTATATGGATGAACCGTTCGAATAAGTAATTCTCGTACGATGCCGGCACACACACAAGCGGCCAACCACTCAATATCGGAGTCTTGGGGGGCGGTCAGCGATTCATGGATTCGTGGATGGCACGGCGCGGTGGGGGTCAACACCAAAATCGAGGGAGAAGAAGGATGCTGCCTCCTTTGCGAGGAATGATCGTGATTTCCCAACTACCAGGAACTCGAATCCCCTAGGCCACTCCATGATGATGCTTTCGAGCGTAAGCAGCGCTGTAGTCTGGAATGATAGGTTGAAGACGACACGCACTCGAGGTTCCCCCGCGGAGATCTGAGTCGTAATGTGCCGCGTGCCGAGGGCGCACCGCAACATCCCCGACATTACCCCAACATCTGACCCCCACGAAAGTCCCACATGCGTCTCGCAGGATCCTGACTGTTCATGAGCCGTGGCATTTCCCAGATGGCGCTGAGGGTCGAAAGGGAACCGTGGGGGAACGCGACACTCGATCATTGGGGGTCAAGAGGAGGACCCTCTCGATAGCTTGGGTCTACCCCATGGGGCTCTTCCCCGCGTTCGTGCTAGGCCCATGTTCTCCCTGCTGGGAACGGCTGTTTGGGTGAGCTTGTCCGGAAGTGAGGAGAAGGGGGAAGCGTTGCAGGAGGTAGGGTTTCTCCAAGGTGGAAGAAGGGCAGGGGGGATTGGGATTTGATTAAGATCGGTCGAGGTCCCGTTCATTTCCTTTGCCGCATGAATTTTGACTGGGAGGTCTTGTCTGACAAACTTCTCGTCTTCTTTTCCTTGACCTTTTTAACACGTAAAGTCGAGAGTGCTCTACGTTCGAGAAGCAAGCGCATAACACAGACGGCATCATGGACATGGAAAAGAAAGAGAGATCCTCGGACCAGGTTGAAGATGTCAACGCGGAGAAGCTCAGCGTCCACGATGGGACGCTCATCATGCCCGCCAGTCTGGCAGCTTTGAGTCAGGAGGATTATGAGAAGGTTGGAAAGAAGGCCACGTTGAAGATGGATATGGTCATTATGCCAATCATGGTAAGTCATCCTTTCAACGCACCTCATCTACGGGGGCTAACATGGGATCAGGTCATCATGTATGTCCGTAAGTAACCACTGCCTCTCGTCTTACGATCCAAGTCTCGAACCTGACACACGTGAAGTCAACTACCTCGATCGTCAAAACATTGCCAGCGCCAAGCTCGCCAACATTACTACGGAACTCAACCTCAGCCAGGTCGAGTATCAGACCACAGTCAGCATTCTCTTCGTCGGCTACAGTACGTTCCCCTTAGCAGCTATTCCTGCGTGCTTTCAACTGACGATGGTCGCAGTTCTGATGCAGATCCCTTCCAACATGATTGTCAGCAAGATCAAGTGGCCCGGGGCGTACATCTGCGCTGCCATGGCAGCGTGGGGCGCGATTTCGTCGCTCATGGCTGTTGTTCACAACTACGAAGGTCTCCTGATGGCTCGATTCTTTCTCGGATTTATCGAGGCAGTCTTCTTTCCGGGTGCCCTTTACTACCTTTCCCTTTTCTATAACCGTAAGCAGTTTGCCCTGAGGACGGCAATTCTCTACTCTGGGTCTCAGTTGGGCAACGCCTTTGGTGGGCTGTTTGCCATTGCTATTTTGAATTTGGATGGAACCAGTGGCCTTTCTGGGTGGCGATGGGTGAGTCTCTTCTATTGATGATGTCGGTCTTGGGAGACTTAGGCTAATACTATGTCAGCTCTTCCTGGTCGAGGGTGTCATCACCGTTGGACTGGCCATCCCCTTCGCCATGATTCTCCCGAACTCCAACAAGAAGATCCCGACGCTCACCCAACTCGAGTGCGAATGGGTCCAATACAACTTCGCAGCCGATCAAGGCCAAGAAGACAACGCAAGCGAGGTGACCGCCTTCAAGGGCTTCATGATGGCCGTCGCGGACCCCAAGACCTGGATGCTAATGGGAATCCTCTACTCCGTATGTACTTCCTTTGACATTCTTCCCCAAACCATCTCCGGGTATACATGTCAACTGACCACAACCACCAACCACAGACCTACATCGTCGGCGCCGTCGCAAACTTCTTCCCCTCCGTCGTCGGCGGCCTCGGCTTCTCCCGCACAATGACCTACGCCCTCACCGCGCCCCCCTTCATCCTCTGCGTGTTTACCATGCTCCTCAACGGCTTCCACTCCGACCGTAAGCAGGAGCGCTACCTCCACATCGTCATCCCGCTCTGCATCACTCTCGTCGCCAACGTCATCGCCGTCTCGACCATCAACATCGCCGCCCGCTACGTCGCCATGATGCTGCTCCCGGGCTCCTTCTACGCCGCCGCCGTCGTCATCCTGTCCTGGATCACGGGCAGCCTAGCGCAGCCGAGCGTCAAGAGAGCGAGCGCTATCGCGCTAATCAATGCTATGTGTAACACGCCGAATATCTGGGGCAGTTATTTATACTACGGCGCGCCGCGGTACATCACCGCGTTCATTGTGAATATCGCGGCGACGGGGCTGGCGATTGGTTTTGCTACTGTTACGCGGATCTGGCTGAGGAGGCTGAATGCGAAGTTGGATCGGGGCGAGGACTGTGGTAAGCATGGGCCGACTGCGGCGCAGGTTTCTACTGGGTTTAGATATCTTATCTAGGTTGAGCTGTAGACTTGCATACGGGAGAGGGAATGGTGACGTGAAGGCTACAAGAAGTTAATCAATCGATGTTGTAAATTGAATCTATTGTGCCATAGTTGGAAATATTCGTCATTGGAGTGCAAGAAACTCAGGCATGTTTCCTAACGCTCATGACAATAAGCAGGCCGAGAGGGGCCATTACAAAGTCAAAGTTTCACAGCGAAGACTGACATTTCCCTTTGAAAGAATTAGGAAGATTCTCTAATATTTCTATTTGCTCCTGAACACCATAAAAATTTAAAGCTTCACCCGTCCGGTAACCTCCTTCTCCGCCCTTTCGCTATTGACTAGCTCAGGGACGATATCCTCGATGCTGGCTGCACCCGCCAACGCCATATTCGTCTCCAGCTCATGCCTCAAAATTTGTATCAATCTCCGCACACCAGCCTCTCCATATCCGGCCGTCATCGAGTACAAAAACGGCCGGCCAATGCCAACCGCACTCGCGCCCAACGCCAACGCCTTGAGAATATCCGTCCCTCGCCTGATCCCACCATCGACAAACACCTGGAACTTTGCTTTCGTCTCCGGGGCGAGCAGATGCGGCGCGTAGCGCCTGATCTCCAGAAGCGTCAGCATCGGCGCCTGGGCGGTGTCCTGGCTTCGCCCGCCGTGGTTCGAGAGCACGATCCCATCGACACCGTGCTGGTGTGCGATAAGAGCGTCCTCAACCGACTGGATGCCTTTGATCACAATAGGCAGTGAAGTCGTCTCCCGGATCCATTCAAGATCAGCCCAGGTCAGCCCCGCGTTCAGCAACCCCGACGCCGTCGTCTTTGCGACGCCGCTGGGTTCGGACAATGGCTCGTCACCGGCCGTCAACCTTTCATCCCGCTCTCTCTTGCCAATGACGGGCGAATCCACCGTCACGAAGATGGCCTTGGCACCGAGGCTCTCCGCCTTTCGGATTGTCGCTTGCGCCTTTTCTCTGTTGCGGTCGACGTATAGCTGGAAGAACAGCGGCTGTGCGTCGCCCTCCGCCCGCGCACCGAAGATGGCGTCTATCGACGCGCTTGGTTTCGTCGGCATGCAGTATATGATGCCCTCCTTCGCCGCTGCTTTCACCAGAAGGGTCTCGGCCTCGGGGTGAGCATACTTAGCCTGGCCCGTTGGCGAGATGTAGAACGGCAAGGACGAAGGGAGACCAAGGATCGACGTGGCCGTGTTGATAGAGTCTACATTGCGAAGCACCCGCGGCCGCAGCGCCAACCTGCGGAAGATGCGTCTCGAGTCCCGGAGACTCTGCTCGTCTTCCGCGCCAGAGCAGTAATACGCCCATCCGATCTCGGACAGGTACTTTTCGGCCACCTTCTCAAAGTCGTCTGCGTTGATGATGGCGCCCAGGTGTGGAAACTTCGGCTTCGGCTTTTCTGGCTCCGGGGCTGATGATTCTTTGGGGAGGGTTAGAGGGTCTACGGGTCCCAGACAGCGATCCGGTGACAGCGTTTCTGCGATGAGGTCCGGGTTGTGGATGGAATCGTAGTCTTCTGTTGCGTCGCGGCCGGCGCAGTTGAATATCAGCTTGGCGCCGCCAGGATGCTCATCGAGGAACTCTGCGATGTCTTAGCAAGGGCGCTTAGTGATGAGAGCGGGAGAATTACCAGTGACGTCCCATACCTGGCCATGGATGACGACCCAGCACGAGTCCTTGGTGTTGTTCTTTGCTACTTCCGTGCCGCTCACCACCATCGTGACTCTCTTGGTGAACTGACCTGCGGGACGGAAAATGTGGGATAGGTCC